GTCTACAGCTCATTATTCTCTTTGCGTTTGCGATTGCCCCATAGCGCTGTTAGCTGGACTCTCTCACGCTACCAATATTAGACAAAAAAATATGCTAATACATTACAAAAAAAAATATTAATTAATTGTTACTTAAACCTAAAAGCGATCGCCTTTTCAGACGACGCTGAGTCTGTGACTGCCGGCCCTTTTGTGTATTTTGGGGCGGCGGCTGTTTGCGTGATTGTTTGACTTGTAATTTGGAAGATGGCAGGTTAAAATGACACTGGCTTTGGCAATCGGGCGATTTGTGGGGTTTGTTAAATAAAAACTGTGGCAATTTGAGCCACCCCTTGCTGAAGAAAACGTCGAGAATGCCTCCCAATATACTCTGCGCTGCCAGCTGTAGATCTCTGTTCGTTGCAGGTGGTTGTCTTGCAAATTTCCATTCCCTTGATGACGAGTTCGAAGAACTGCAAATTGATTTCTCTATTAATTTGCTGTCTTACCAACTTTCTGGTCTATCTTACCCGAAGGCTTTGCCCTCTCAGCGGACTGGTTGCTACTGAGGCCAAGATCCGTTGAGATTATAAAAAAGATCACTACAAAACAAGGAAAACTATAACTTTGACTAATTTTTTATTAACCGGGCGGACAATTTTCCGCTTACCGCACTTTGCACTGCCACTATGAAATCACTTTTGTGAGGCTTGGGCCTGCGTTGCGCAGCTTTTATAGGGACGCCGCTTGACCCATTTCCCCACATCAGAGGGAGAAAGCCTATCATCCCTTTTACTGGTATAAATGCCATGGGGTGTTTGCCCACTCATACTTTGACCCTCAAATCTCCCGATCTCCACAAGAGCGGGGATAGGCGCTCAGCAAATTCCCGCGCTTGATGGCTATGTTGCTAAACGTCGCCAATATGTTGTCAATGCTTAGACACATGCTTCGGCAACATTTCTCTCAGCAACATTTGCATCCGCATCTACACAAGCGCCCATTACAATTCATGTCATTCATGAAAACGACCATGCAAACACTGGTTCATAACCATAACATGGTGCTACAGCTACTTGTAGCTAAGCAGTCCAAAAAACAGATGGCAAATCTACGAATAACGATGTGGAACGCCAATGGCGTTTCATGGCACAACCTTGAAGTAACACAGTTTCTGAATAATAATCATATCGACATTATTCTACTGGCAGAGGCGCACCTCACAAACAAATACAACTTCAAAATAAGAGGTTACACTTTCTACTGCACAGATCATCCAGACGGTACAGCTCATGGCGGAACTGGCATCCTAATCAGGGAACGCATCAGGCACCACCTTCACCGAAGTTTTGCAACAAATAACTTGCAAGACACGTCTACCCTGAAACAGAAAAAGGCTCCTGGCGGTGACCAAATAACTTCCAAACTCCGCCATTAAGGTTATTTGTAAGCTCTTTAATGGGATAATGACACTCGGCTCCTATCCAAAAAAAATGGAAAAAAAATCTATTATCATTATGATAGCGAAGGCGAAGACCATACAATTTCGTTATCCTACAGACCAATCAGTTTATTTTCGTGTCTGTCTAAGTTGTTCGAATAATGCCTTCTAACTTGCATAATACAATATCGTGCTCATCAATTTGGCTTTCGTCAAAACCATGGACAACAATTGGACAAGTTAACAGAATAACATAAGATATTCGCACAGAATCGGTGCCCAGGCCGAGCCACAACACAGCTAGCAAATCACCTCCTCGTAGTAGAGAGGTGGCTATCAGATTGGCGGATTTAAATAAATGAACAAAAATTTAAACATATAACGTTTACTCTCAACAGGCAAACATGCCCTCCACTATCATTAAATAATACACAGATTACCCAAGTTAACGATGTTACGTATCTCGGCGTCCACCTTGACAGACAACTAACCTGGAAAAGATACATCCAATTTAAAAAAGAATATCTAAAACTAAAAGTCAATAGCCTCCACTTGCGTCTGGACTACAAGGTTTTGCTCTACAACAACTCCACCCTCAAGCCCATCAGAACATATGGCTCCCAACTATGAGGGAACGCCAGCAGAACCAACATAGACATTGTACAGCGCGTTCAATCGAAAAACCTCCGAACTATCACTGGGGCAACCAAAACATCCTCAGGGACCTAGACATTCTTACCGTCAAAGATTAAATAGACAAGCAAAAAGAGTCCTTCAATGAGATCAGTATTGCGCTTAGCACCAAATTATATGAAATTACCCATGTTATTATCCTGTATATAGCTAAAAACAAATTCTTTGTGTTGCGCCTTATTTTCGCACCGTTACTTAACGATTTCAAGCAACGCTATGTTTAATAGTGAAAATGAGGTTACGTCAAAATAATTGTTCGATGTCATCACAAGTTAATGCTAATTTCATTTAATTATTATTGCTTTATAAATAACTTTGTTAATTTGCCTAATAATTTTAACTCTTGCCAGCTTGTTCTACTTAACTACCCCACACTGTGATCATATGTTTATATATTGAATTCGCTACTCTTATACATGCAGTTCACACATGCAATAATCACACATGTGTAATCTCCAAATCGAACATTAAAAATCAGTTCATATTAGAAATCGAACCAACTCGGAGGTTTTTCTAATTACTTTGCATTCGGCACAGTCCGCACATTTTGGCGACCGTGACAGGACTCTGCATTCCGCAAGTCCCACCATAAATTCTATTCACACTTAGGATCATTCCCTCTGTATTTGGCGGAGAAATAGATTCCAGCAACGCCACAATACCTGGTGTATTTTCGGCACGGAGTGCAGCTCATCGGACTTTTGTCAGTGCGTTTGTTATCATCGTTGGCTCTCCGGAAGCATCGTTGGATCACCGGAATCATCGCCACTAGGTCGTCGTGGATATCTGCATACAGGGTATGCGCATCATAACCGTCGAAGGACAGCTTCGTAAGCGAAGGAACAGCGGCACAAAGGGGACGAAAAACTGTAAGCTAGACTCGCAAATGCAATCGCGGTTTTGTCTTTCCACTCTCAACCAAAGAGCATTGCCCTCATCACTCGTATTGGGGGGTCAAAGAAGGACCGTCCAGAAGATGCAAGTTTCTTCAATTCATTGGCAAATTGCGCAACTGGGCACCATAATCGTTTGCCTTCGTTAAACTGCCTCAGTTCGACGGGAAGTATGGTGACTACATGAAGTTTATCACTGCCTTTACTAGCATGGTACATGATGACGCTTCAATATCAGCTGTTGACAAATTTAACTACTTGCTTAGCTGTTAGGTGGTCCAGCGCTGAGTGTCGTGGCTCCCTTTCAAGTGTCCGAAATCAATAATCCAAAGGCGTTAAGGCAGTTAAAGGAGCGCTACGATAAAAAGGTATTGATTTTCATAGAGCACATTTCTAGCTTATTCGATATTCAAATTATAAAAAGATCTGATCCCGCAGCTCTTCGCTGTATCTTGGATACCGTCTCCGCGCTGCGTGAATCGTTGTTGTCGTTAGGAACAGAAGCAGATGTTATGAACGCAATACTAATGCATCTTGTTTTATCTAAAATTGATGCAGATTCGAAATTATCGTATGATCGGGTTCAAGAATACGAGGTGTTGCTTACTTGGGAGGATTGTTATCGCAGTTTAAGCCGTCATTGTCAGTATTTGGAGAGAAACGTCAAACGATCATCTGATGAGAAGCCAAAGGAAAGGCCAAGAAAAGGAGCCTTTGTTGCGGCACAGGGTGGTTGTAAAAAATGTTCTGCTACTGATCACTCCCTCACTCAGTGCCCTTCATTTGGTTTACTAGACTGGCAGGATAAATTGAATTTTCGTCAAGCAATCCACTCTGTGAATAAATTGTTTGCGCACCGGCCATTTGGCGAGCCGATGTCCAAGTAGGTCTCGGTGCCGCGTTTGTCAAGGCTTACATCATACTATTCTGCATAGAACTGCATCCAAAGCAACCAACACAAATTGTTTCCCACACATCTCAGCAGCAGCGGGAACCCATTCGAGGCGCGCTTTTATTCCTATGGCAATAGTATTTATTAGGGATGAGTTCGAATATTTCAGGCAGCCAGGGCTTTGCTTGACTCAGGCTCTGAAATAAATTTAATCTCTGAAGAGTTGGCCAAGCTCCTTCAGCTCAGATTCGAGAATCAGAAGTATGACATTTCTGGCAAAGGTGATGTCAGAACGCAGATGAGATTCTCTGTCTCAACAACCATTCGATCACGACTATCTGTAAATAAATGGCATTTATGCTGTAGGCAAGACAATATCGCTTTATCAGCCAGAGCGATTTATTGACACTTCACAATGGAACATACCCTCAGAGATTGACCTTGCAGATCCAGGCTTCTACATGCCTCACCGGATTGACCTACTCATCACCACACAAGAGTTTTTTGATTTACTCTCAAATGGCAAAATTTCTTTGGGTTCAGGCCTTCCTTGCTTGGACATTACAGTTTTTGCAAGATAAAGGTTGGATAGGTTGAGCCGCAACCCGTTGTACGTTCAATTCATGAGGGAATACATAGATTTGAATAACATGCAATTGGCATCTGATTTCGACTCTCAAAAGACACATTATATAATCATCATGTAGTCCTTAGATCAGAAATAACGACTACCAAGCTGCGTTTTGTGTTTGATGCATCGTGCAAGACAACGTCGAACCTTTTTCTGAATGAGGTGTTGATGATTGGCTAAGCATCCAGCAGAATCTTATCTTAACACTTTTTGCCTTTCGCTTACATCGTCATGCACTTGTAGCTGATATATGCAAGATGTATCGCCAGTTTGAAGTATCACCAGTCGATCATATGTATCAAACTTGTTCTATGGAGAGAATCCTCAGCTGCGCCTTTAGAAGTGTTTCATCTCAACACTGTCACGTTCGGCATGTCCTGCCCACCATTTCTAGCAATCAGGAGCTTAAAATATATTGCGGATAATTTCTCTAATCAGTTTCCCATCGGAGCAGCCGTACTTAAAGAAGATATGTACGTTGATGACCTCCTTACTGGAGCAGATCTCAAGGCTGCAGAGGTCACCAGCATACTTTCTAAGGCTGGATTAGAGCTTGAAAAGTGGAACACAAGCAACATAGAAGGCAACGGAGAAGAGTTTCAATTCAAGATTGATACCACAGATGTAACGAAGAAATTGGGCATGTCGTGGCAACCAAAACTAGATGTGTTCTGTTTCAGGTATATCCTACCTACAATCTCTGTTATCACCAAGCGGAGCATCGTTTCACTTGTAGCTCACTTGTACGATTTACAAGGGCTCGTATCACCAGTCGTCATTCGATGCAAAATATTGGTCCAAGAGTTGTAGATGCACCGTCTAAACTGGGACGATCCACTTCCCCCTGAGCCTCAATCTCAGTGAAAGCGAATAGAAGATTTGCACAATCTTCAATCCAAATTCAATCAATTTATAAACTCGTCACCAAGAAATCTATCGGAAATACACGGATTTTCAGATGGCGAGCTTATGGCTGTTGTCTATATCTACAAACATACATAAATGGAGAGTTTAAATCAATGTTAATCATCGCCAAGTCTAATGTGGCCCCAATTAAGGCAATTTCATTGCCGCGGCTAGAATTGTGCGCCGCATATTAATTGTGTCAAACATGGGCCAAGATTAAGCAAAATTTCGAAAAATACGTAAATAACATTTTCTTTTAGACAGATTCAAGAATAGTTTTACAGTGGTAAAACACACTCCAGACATGCACTCATCCAGGCTAAACTGTTTCGTCGCCAACCGATTTCTGAGATGCAATCAACCACGTCAAACATCACTTGGAGGCACGTTTCCGTTCAGGGTCGGAGCTTATGGAAACTATATGGTTTCGTGGACCAAGCTTCTTACTTCAGGACTCATCTGGATGGCCTCAACCAGTACCAAATTCTCAGGAGACCAATGAAGAGTTCGAGCTGCGAAAGTTAACAGTCCTCACATGTACCGATAGTGGTAGCAAGGAAGATATATATTCGACTACTTTATAAACAAATTCTCATCCTATCGGCGCATTTTGCGAGTCATAGCATTTGTGTTGCGCGTCTTCAACAGGAAAGTGAACTAGTCGATGTACTTCATACACCAGCAACTGAATCGCAATACGCGTTCAAGCACATCGTATCACATATTCAGCAAAAGACCTTTTTCAACGAAATCCAGCAGCTAAACAAGATTTTAAAACCCGAATTTCATAAACTAAATTTATTCCTAGCAGCGACTGACGGATCAAACCGTTCTATAACAGTATTACGTGTAGGAGACCGCTTAGCAAAGGCACCCATTTCAAACGATGCCTTTTTCCTGTTTTTCCAAAGAATCATTGCTTCACATTGTAGTTTGTTGAATATCTTCACGGGCAGTACGCGCACGATGGACCAAAGGCTCTTGTTGGAATCCTGCGTCTTCCTGGCGATGTAAACGCCAGAGAAATTGTTCGAAAGATTGTACGGCGCTGCACACACTGTTACCATTATAAGCCTCATTTAATGGAAGAAATAATGGGATCACTTCCAGTTGATCGCTTTCATTCACAACGACCTTTTTTTGTAGCTGGAGTCGACCTATGTGGACCATTTGCCACATCATACCGCATTCGAAGCAAGGTTCCATATGAAACATACATGGCCGTGTTTATATGCTTTTCGTAATAAGCAATCCACATCGAACACATTTCTGATCTGTCTACTAATAACTTTATTCTTTGTTTAAAGCGCTTCGTCAGTCGCAGAGGCATCCCACTACGCATTTATGGTGACAATGCAACTAATTTCGTCGGTGCACGATCGCAGCTCGAGGACTTTAAGCAGCAGCTGTTCGACGAAGCCAACACATTGAATGTGCAGAAGTTCAGCAGCATCGTAGTATTCGAGTTCAAGTTCATCCCTCCGCGTGCTTCCCACTTTGGTGGCTTGTGGGAGGCCGCAGTGAAGTCCATGAAAAGCCAAATGATGAAAAACTTGGGCAACACTGGGCTAACGTACGAGGAGCTTCAAACGACTGCAATCGAGTCGGAGGCAATCTTAAACTCAAGACCAATGGCACCCCTCTCCGAAGACCCAAACGATGGAGAGGCGCTTAGCACAGGGCAGTTGCTAATTGGGTCCTCTTTAATGTCCGTACCGGAGCCTTCAATTGACGGGAGCAGACCTATCTTACGCGGTGGCAGCGCGTAACGTATTTGAAGCAACAGTTCTAAGAGCTATGGAGGCGTGATTACTTACATACGCTTCAGGCGCAGTCCAAATGGCTCAAACCCAATGCCAACATTCAAATTGGTCTAATGGTCATAATTCACGAGGATAACACACCTCCCCAGGAATGGATCCTTGGTCGCATCACCAACACGCATGTCGGAGCTGATGGACGAGTAAAAGCGGCCGAGATCAAGGTGAAAAATGGAACCATTTGAAGACCCATCTGTAAGATAGCGCCCCTGCTTGAGCAAATTGGTGTTTGAATACTCCTGGTGAATGTTCGATGACATCATAAGTTAATGCTAATTTCATTTAATTATTATTGTTTTATAAATATCTTTGTTAATTTGCATAATAATTTGAATTCTTGCCAACTTGTTCTACTTAAGTGTAATAATATGTTTATATTTTGAATTCGCCTTACGCACTCTTATACATGCAAGTCATACATGTACATATCTCTCCATTATAATCTCGAAATCGAACATTAAAAATCAGTGCATATTAGAAATCGAACCCACTCGGGCGTTTTTTCCGCACAATAATTATGCCAACAAGTGCATTTACTTCCTGTAATATTTATTTACAGTGTGCATCACTGGGTTTGTAAACATTGAATAACAACATGGTTATCAATATTTACACCATTTTAAAATATTCATTGTTAATTGACAAAGCCCCATCTTTTTTCAAAAAATTATGGTAGATATGGAGAAAAATATGTTACACAAGGTCAAACGAAGTCATACACTATAATATTATGGAAGCCACAGTTGTCCGCGGTTTGTGGGCGTTATAGTGGGCGTGGCAGGATGCTGAAATAAACTGCGCATGGTCCTCAAGAATCTTTCTGCTTAATCTCGACTCTGCATCTCTTAAAATTCCTGAGACATAGCGACAGACCGACCGCCATGCGGGCATAGCTTAACCGATTTCGCTATTGATACTGATCAAGAATAAATATTATTTATATATATCTGAGTGCTCATTTGTTTTCGCCCATAAGCTTCGACTATTTTTCGTTTTCCTCTTTTCGTCTCATTCCGTGGCCAACTCCAATGTATTTTGTTCTTGTTTTTTCTGAGAACATCTGCGGGAACCTGCACTGAAATTCATTCTGTGTGACTTCTGTTTCCAATATGGAGTTTATTTCGCAGTGGGCCATCGACGTAAGTGTTGAAATGAGTGATGAATTGGTAAGCAAAAATAAGGTGTTTTTCTTTCGCTCAATACACAGCTGCAAACCAACACAATAGCGCTACTAAATATGTGGGCGCTTTCTTGTATTTGTGTTAGTAAATGTTCTGCCATAAGATGATTTTGAGCACATCTGCCTTATAAGGCATAAAACGCTTTCTTCTACCTGTTACATACTATTCAACGAATCTAATATACCCTTTTACTCTACGAGTAACGGATATAAAAATGTAAGAGATAAACGGCATGGATTTCGGATTACTGACAAATTTTTTATAAAAGAAGGTTTGGCCTACAAAATTTTTAAGTTGAACATTTTTGGTTAAGAATATTCTGTTATTGTTGCTATTTTTTCTAGATATGTTTCGATTATACGAAAATATAAGAATTATATTAAGAATTATGATGATAAAAATCAAGAAATATGATTTTGAATTTCAAAAATTTCCATATTTTAGATTTCAGGAAAATTTTTAAATAATTAGACGTATTTGACGTGACATATTTTTCCGACATAATCTGTTAGGACATTAGTGTTGCCAGTTTAGCTTATTATAAGCTAGTTCTAGCATATTTTGAACTGGAAAAGCTTGAAAACTCTCGATCTAGCGTATAGCTTGATATATAGCTTATTTTAAAATTTATCTAGCATATTCTAGCATTAAATGTATTTACATCATTAACGCGTTGTTAATGTAAATTATGGCATGAAAATATCGGAGCTTGTTCTTTTTTTGCCGATGGTTATGTGCGTTTTATATGATCGTGAATATATTTCTAATCGATAGTGCCATCGAAGATCGATATACAAGTGCTTATTGCTCCTATTCTAAGTCAACAATTTCAGCAAAAATCTTTGAAATAAGGCATCATGCGGCAACAAAGAAGAACGTGCTAGCAATGGGCTTAAATGCACAATCTCAGAAAATAAGTTTCCCTGCAAAATGTTGCAAAACACAGGAGCAGGAAGCAGCCCTTTCAATGGAAATTTAAGGAATTAATCATAAAAGTAGCCCCCAATGACTATTGCCACCCACATTTGGCCGAATGTATGCAGACAACGGTTGTGCGTGGTACAAGTATTTTGAAAACAACAAGTATTTATGGAAATTTTTTTACACTTTTAAGCACGATAAGAACAAACAATTTATGTGTTTAACTTTGATCAATGTTAAACGTTTATAAGATATAAAGTTATTTAAAATTATAAAATAAAATGGGTAAAACGGCTGGGCTATGATTGGTTACCAAATTTCCAACGGTAACAAAGTTTAACGCTGGAATAGCAGTCAAAGACATTGCCAATGAGTTTAATGTGTCGCGTCAAACTGTGCACTTAAAAAACATGGGTAATTTAAAAAGATTTGGTGCTAAGCGCAAAACAAATCTCATTGAAGACAGAGTCCTTGTACGGAAATTTTTTTTCTGAAGCATCAATCTCCACCAGATCTATTTAATTTGACAGCATTTGTTTTCTTTGGAGACTAACAATAAGTGTATCAAATCTTAAACTAATTAATCTAACTAAAAGTCATATGACTGATATTGTGCTTATTGCTGGCTTGGCAGGTCGTTGCTTTGTAGACGGGATCGGGATCGGGATCGTCTTGGGAACCCAAGACAAGCTTCTTGCGAGGCGATTGGGTTCCACACGCAGTCAAAACAAAACTACGAGTACGATTCGGTTGAAATTTCGACAGTAGCCGGCCACGAGAATGTATTACACGATAGTAAATTTCTCTTGCGAAAGAGACGCCGTCGGGCGGTAAGGCTAGGTACTTATCAGACTGCCCTCGAATGAACAAAGAATCTTTCAAAGACAATGTCCTAAGGACAAATAATAGATGTCCTGAGGACATTGTCTTTAAAAGATTTTTGTGCTTTCTGAGCTAGAAGGCTAGGCTTAAGAATACGTATTTAAGAGATGCCAATGCAACTTGGCACGATTTTTCACGCCCCAAAACCGCGGAAAAGACAACTTCGTCCTTACTCATCATAGTATCGATGGATTTACATGTTGTCCGGTATTCCATTCAGAATAGTGATGTTGATGGTGTTGACATCAACGTTTTTGGCTGCCAATATAACACACGTACTGAGCCACTGATGAGTTTTGTAACTCTGTGCAATGTGTGGAAAAACTTTTAGCACCAATTCGTATAAGCTTTCAGTGATCTCAAATAAGTTTGTTGGCAAGGTGATAGATTGCGTGGACTCATCAATTTGCCTTCGCCCATTTCCAATATCCATTGTTTTGCAAATATGTCAGAAGATGCATCAAGTTGTAAATGACGCTATAAAATGGACAATTTAAGACATGCATAAAATGTTTCAGCAGGTGTTGAACGGGGTATAACCGGAAGTCTTTGTCGAAAATCACCAGACAATAAAAAGAGTGCTCCAACAAAAATCCATGTGTTTCATTTTATATCTCACAGTTTATGATCAAACGCTTCCAATGCTTTCTTGTGAGACATTACATTGTGCCCATTCCAAAGTGTTTGTTGATGTTACATATTGGTGTGTTTTGTGCATTCAATGGTAGCTTTAAAGCTGAATGCGCTGATCGTCCACCATCCAAAAGAGTTGCTGCAATTCCAGATGATGCACCAGTGCACTTTTATTTTGTGATCGTATGGTTGCCAAAATGAGCGATAGAAGAAAAGTCTTGCCGGTACTACCGGGCGCATCTATGAAAAACAGTCCACGGCTTTGTTCTGTGATTGAACGCACAATTCTGTCTGAGAACCAAAGTTTGTTTTTCGTTGCAATTTACAATCGAGGAGGTCATTTTCTGGTCAGTTTGGAGCAGGCATTTCCAATTGCACCAGTGTCTTGTTAGCGATTGCCAAGGATATGTTATCAACTAAAATCAGTGCCTGTTATACACCTTTGGTGTGAATAGAAGACATACATTTCACAATTGACATAAATTCTCACGTAATAAAAAAAACATTTCAAATTTAACTGTTTAAAAAAAGGCTGCCAGGTTAATTTCTAGAACGTTGCCACATACTCCCTTACCTGTTAAGAGCTAGATCTGCCAACTAAAAATGCAATGCTGCTACCACCCAATGGCTCAGCTAATCAGAGCTGCGAACTTTAATTTTATAGTGTTGCCATATGGCTATATATCAATTTAAAAAATTTTCAATCAATTTTCCAAAATTTCAATTTTTACAAATTTTTCTCGTTTATGATTCTAAGCATACCCGGGGCCCCATTGAATACATACAAAAAAAATTCATCAAAAGCGGACTAGCCGTTTACGATTTTATAGCGGACTTAACATGATTATATTCGTTTTTTATAAATAGATAGGATAGTTTAAACTTCAAACTCAGCTGCTGGAGTCATTATTATTGGATTAATCTTAATCAAGTACTCATCATTCAATTTAGATAATACTTGCACAAAGGAGTCAACAAAATTTGATCCTGCGTCAATACCTGTTTTTATTGCAAATTTGACTAACTTAGAATTAAAGGCACAATTCACAAAAGCAAACATCATCTCAAAAGTAGACTACGGTCTTCCAATCTATGGCTTCGTACACAATACTGGGGAAAGTAAAGTCAACAATCAACACAGCCTTTAAACCTGCCCTCGGAGCCTTCAGAACCACTCCGACAAAAACATACCTTACGAAGCAAATTCTGACACCTTATAAAACAGACGAGAGTTTCATACGTCAAAAATCGTTAAGTCCCTGTTTAACGCCAAAGCCTCACCAATAATTAAAATTTTAAAAGCATATCACCCGCCAAAACGTCCGCAGCACAAGTCAACAACAGATCGTATTATAGAATACTCACAAGTCCACCAACTGCCATTTAAACAATTAACACCACATACACAAATCACAACGACATAGAACACAAACCTTCTAAAAATAGACATATCGCTAAATAAATTCGACAAAAAATGTAACCCTCCTGAAATTTTCAGATTACAAAAGACAATTACAAATACACATACATTTACACCGTCGGATCTCAATCAAACGGCATTACTAGGC